GTCCCATGAGTCTTTGCTGCCTGAGCATACGTTGAATAGTCTCCATGTCCATGAGCTGAAAAAAAAAGAATGTGGGCAACCACACTGGCTGCCTGTAGTGGCGACCCGCGACCATGGAGATATAAACAGCTTTTTATAAGGTAAAAATAATAAAACAAGGTCTTTGTCTGCAATGATTAGACATGTTTTTATTATTGTCATTAGTGATTATCTCAATTTTGGCTAAAAGAATTGACAAAATCCTACACACTGTGCCTTTAAATGTAGTTTTATTTTTCCTTAAATGTTTTTTATTATCATTATCTTTATCAAAGCTAAGAAAAGACATGATTAGAAAAAACAAAGCAAAATATGAACTTCACATGTGGATGTCACATGTTTTCACCTGCAGAAACATTATATGAAAGTCAAGTTTTAATTATTCTCATGTGACGTTTCGAACATTTTCAATATGTTTATGTGATCAATATGCACTCTAAAAAATTAATGTTAAGCTTTGACTGCAGCACTGACCACCAAACTGTATCAGTCACAAATTCTAATGGCTACTTTTTAGTATCTGCATTATTTCACTGGGATTATCAGGTGCTTCTGGTGCATCATGGCTCATTTACCCTGCCATGTTCTGTTTGACAGACTCTACTTTAATTTGCGTTCTGGACTTAGACGGATTAAAAGTCCTTTTTTTTTTCTTTTTTTTTTTTTTGCTGTTATGTGACATGATGATTGTAAAATCTGTTTTTTATTCTAATGAGGGAGCAAGAATCAAAGCCTGAGAGTCATGGTTTGTAACTGCATTAGGTTGTACAGTTGATTTAAAGGAGAATGTGGGAAAAGTGTGATAGAGCTCCAAAATGTTGCAACAATACTGCTTTGTTATACCACCCAACTTTATTTTTTTTATGTATATGTGACTTGTTTTAATCTTTTGTCATGAACAGAAATTGATTTTTCGAGATAGCGTTTTTTATTTTGACGTGAAAAACCTGATTTTCAAGATAACTGGAGGATTTTAAAATCGCAATCAAACCAAAAGGGTACATATTTTTTCATAAATCAGGACTAGCTGATTCAAGGTGAAAATGCTACAATGTTGCTCGACTACATTGGTACAGATCGTCAGTGTCATAGTGATTATTAATGAAGAGACAGTGTAATACAACAAGAGCTGAAAGAGAATGTTCTTTACTTAAAGGCACAGTGTGTAGGATTTTGTCAATTCTTTTAGCCGAAATTGAGATAATCACTAATGACAATAATAAAAAACATGTCTAATCATTGCAGACAAAGACCTTGTATCCATCCATCCATCCATCCATCCATCCATCCATCCATC